CAAATAAATAAATAAAATCTTATAAGAAAAAAAAAAAGAATTGCTTTAAAAAATAATAATAATAAAATAAAACAGGGTCTCAACAGACACCAGCCCAGCACAAGATGAGGCGGAGCAGGTCTGGAGGAACTAAGCTGGACTGGGGGATGAAGCCATGGGAACTCCTGTTTCAGGAGTCCCTTCACCTTTCTGAAAAGGGTGAAACTCAATCTTAAGTGAAAACAGAGCAAGAGCATCACTGCCTCCGATCAGTCGGGCTCCCCATCTGTAAAAGGAGGAATATGGCTGGTCTCCAAAACCCCAGCTCCAACATTCACCCTGCTGTCACCCCCAGAGGCATGACAACTGGGAGTCCCAGCAGTGGCACGGAGATCATCCTCGTGACTGGCAGACTTGAACCCACAGCTGCTGAGGTTATTTTTAAATAGGAAATGAGTCCACTTCATTCCAGTCACCTACAGACGGCTGCTGAGTGGCTTCACAGAGAGGGAAAGGGAGCAGGGGCACCCAGAAGCACCGCAGAAGTCAACTGGGCTGAGGCTGTGGCCAGCGTCCATACCCCAAGGCAGAGCCCGGAAGGGCCCCAAGCCAAGCTGTGCTGCCTCGGTCCCTGATGAGGAAAAGGGGTCAGAAAGACTTCAAGGGGCCAGAAGCTACTTCAGTTCTTGGCTTTACTAAAACCTAATCTCTCCAGCCAAATCCCTGCTGTGACTGAATCCTTGATAGATGGAAGATTGTGAGCTATACATTCCTAAAGGAATCTTAATGCCTTGCTTACATTTTACACTTATTTTTCATTATAATAGCGATATAACAGAAACTCAAAATTCAACTTTAGCTCACTATGCTCCCAGGGTAGGTGTAATATCCAAATCTCTACCTGAGGTTGAACTATGCTGTTTCTTCCTTTTAAAATTGTGTTTGTCATGCAAATAACTGCTTCGCAAGTGAAAAAATCCAGGTTCCTTCCAAACTTTCATCACTAGGCCAGTACCATTTTTTAAAGATTTTATTTATTTGAGAGAGAGAGAGCACAAGCATGGGGTTGCGGGGGAGGGCGGGGGGGGGAGCTGAGGGTCCACAGAGGGAGAAGCAGACTCAGAGCCTGACCCAGGGCTCTATCACAAGACCCTGAGATCATAACCTGAGCCAAGAGGCAGACACTTAACCACTGAGCCACCCAGGTGCCCCTAGGACAATCCTATTTTAAGAATGCTAACACATTTCCTTATTAAAACATCCCTATACCCCAAACATTGGGCCACGAATTTATTTAAAACTCTGTTGAATGGACTCAATTATTCAGGATATCAAACTTCCTGGTCAATCTTTGTAATTTACTGAAACAATATTTAATCTGTATTTTCCTTCTAGAAATAAATTCTATTGTTTGAATCCTGATATCACTATTGAAAACAAAAGACTATTTAATAGTGAAAACTCCAAACAAGATGGTTCAAGGCACCACACGCAGGCACCTCAATGCGGCACCAAATGCCAAGCGAGTAACAATCAATTTTTTTTTTTTTAAAGATTTTATTTATTCATTTGAGACACAGAGATACAGAGAGAGAGAGAGA